TGGCCGGGCTGGGGCTCGTCCTGAGAGCATCCCCCACTGCCGGGGGCACGTGCTGGCCACGGTCAGCCTCCCTGAGACGTGTCGCTGGCCCGTGAAGCTGGGGAGTCGTCATTAAATCGTTAACCTGTGGTGAGTGGTGTCCACTGGCTCCCGCCTCGCAGGGGCTCCTTCCTGGCCCCCGGCCCATCTCCACCCTGATGCTCAGCTCATGCCTGTGGGCCTGGGAAGGCAGCGGTTCTTTCTTCTGGAATGTTCTTTGTTGGCTGGCTCCTCCCTCAGATCTGCCCAGGAGGGCAGGACCACACCTCCCCCCATTCTGGGCTGACCCCACCGCGTGGGGCGAGCAGGGTCCCTGCTGGGAGCAGCCAGTGGCTTTGTTGGTGTCTGGGGACCTGACAGTAGTATTGGGGCGCCCTCCCCGCCCGATCCAGGACTTCTCTGGGGGACTGACCCCAGGAGGCCTCAGCCTGTGGGGTGAGGGCAAGGGGTGTCCTGTGCTCCAGGCCTGTGAGTCAGGCTGGTGGGCTGCCTGGCGTCTTCAGAGGGAACCCCTTCTGACTGCCCTGGACACTCGCTTGTCTCCCATGAGAAGTTAAAGGGCAGAAAAGCAGAGGCCGACGCCGTGAGCACGTGTCCACCTCCCGGGCCCACACGTGGCAGAGCAGTTGAGGCCTGTGTGGCCTTTCCCAGAGCACCCCCCCGCCCAGCTCCGGCCTGGCCCTCGCCAGCGGCTATTTACATCTCCGTGCGTTTTACCCACAAACGGTGCATGTGTGAGGCTCAGGCGGCCGTCGGTGGGAGCTGCTTCCCTCCTGGGCTTTCGAGCGTGTGGTGCTGGCACCCATGCGGCGGGCGGGCTGACTGCCAGGCCACCCTCCCGACTGGACCATGAGATCCCTGGGCCCCTGGACACCTGGCCTTGGTGGGGACGGAATGCGAGCAGGTGTCTGCTCCGCCCGGACCTCGGAGAGCGCCCTGTCCGGCCATTCCTCAGCGGGTGGTGGGTCCTGTGCACCTGGGGCTTGGAAAGCTGTCCTGGCACGCGCGGCCCTGGCGGCACATGGCACCACGTGGTGGTGCAGATGGACATTCAGACTCGATCGCTGGACAGCCTTCCTCTGGACGGTGCTGCTGACCAGCCATCTAAGCCCCGACCTGCTGCCCTGGGCCGAAATGCCCTCGTGCTGGCTTCAGTTCTGTCTGTGACGTTGGGCGTGATGTTGGCGTTTGTATCTGGCGTGTGTGTTCATGTGTGTTTGGTGGCAAGTGAGAGGGTTTCCTGCCACGGGACCCTCAGGACTCTGCTCCGAGGAGCCAGCCCCAGGCCGGCGCGCTGTGCGCTGCTGCCTCTAATGTCTGGGACAGCCAAGTCCACGGGCAGCGCTGTGCACCCCGCGGGCGGCTCAGAACAGCCCGTGAGAGTAGAAGGGTCAAGGCAGGCCAGAGGGGAGCGGCAGCAGGAGGTCCCAGTCCTGGGAGCCACGGCCACGCTGTGACCTACAGGGGTGGTCCCGCAGGTCCCCCGAGGCGGCAGAGGCCTGGAAGGGCCTGTCTCCACGCTCCCAGGCCCAGTGCATCCAAGCTCGGCCCAGGCCCGGGGCCGGCTCTGGTTGGAGCTGCTCTGCATACCGGGCCTGACTCGCCCGATAACTGTCCCTTCCTCTCGGGTGCGGTGCTGCCAGGCCACACGCGAGTTTATATTCATAAACTGAAACCGTGTTCCAGAGCCGCTGCTGGAGTCTGCGTGTCCCAGCACACACACACACACACAGTCACACCCTGACGCTCTGACCTCCGGTGCAGGTGCTGGGAGGTGCCTAGGTCGTGAGGGCGGGGCCCATGATAGGATCAGTGCCCTTCTGAGAGGGACCCCCCCCCCACCCAAGGCCACTCTGTGAGACCTGGAGGGCGCCCCGCCAGCCAGCACCACCTCAGCCTCCGCCGCCAAACCGAGGGGAGGACTGGGAGCCTGGCCTGTGCTGCTGGGTGGTGCAGCCCGGGGGCCGAGGCCGCCTGCACCCCATGTTCCCGCCCGTGCGGTGGCAGCTCCTGTGCCTGCTGGTCCCCATGGGCACTGCGTGTGCGCGCGCGAGTGCATGTGTAACAGGCATGGTGTCTGTCTGGCTTTAATGTGCACGTCCCTAGTGTCTAATAACGGCGACTGTCTCCTTTGGTGACGTGTCCGATTCTCTTGCCCATTTATAGTCGAGCTGGGCTTCCTGCTGCCGTTACGCAGTCCAGGCACAAGTGCTGGGTGGTGACTTGTAGCTACTTCCCGTCTGGTTTCCTTCCGTCCTGAAGTGTTTTCAGAGCGAAGTCACGTTCGCTGAAGTCGTGGACCCACTTTTAACAGGAGGTGTCTGGGCACCGGTGCCGGCCCCAGGGCGCAGGTGTGCGGCGGCCTCTCTGGAGCGTGTGGTCCTCACGGGGTGAGGTTGGTCTGGGCTCATTTTTTCTGCCAGCGATGCCCGTTGTCCCGGCAGCACTCACTGGATGACGCCCACCGAGTGGCCACACACGTCACTGCGACTGCCCCTCTCTGGACGCTCCCTCTGGGAAGGGCTCACCTGCCGCGTGTGTGCAGCATGTCCCATGGACGCAACCAGCACCGCCGTGATCAGACCTCCATGCGGGGCTCCTCCAACCTCGTTTCTCGGAATCGCTTCAGCTGCGTTGGTTCCTCTGCAGACCCGTGGGCATCTTAGAAGCACCTTGTCCGCAGCCATTCAAGCCCAGGGGGCCTTGGCTGGGCTGTGGGGCCTGTAGACCCGTTTGGGGAAAGCGGCCCCTGTGCGAATCGCCCCCAAGGAGGACGGTGCCGTCTGTGGGCCTATGGGCCCCGTACCACCACTCCGCAGAGGGCACTTACCGCCCTCACGTGCTGGGCTAGGTTTCCGCCTAGGCTGTCTTTCTTTTTAGCTCCTGTAAAAGGTCTTGATTTTTAAATTTTGGTTTCGTTTTGGTCTATTTCTGTGTTTGGAGACCTGGTTGATTGCTGTGCTATAGGCACATCCTGTCAGCTTCCTGAACCCACTTTCTGGTTCCAGGAGGTCCTTGGATTTGTCTGTAGACGAGGGGTGGGGTGCGGGGGGGGGGGGTCATGCCTAAACAATTGTCACCTGTGAGAAGGGACAGTGTCTGCACCGTCATTCTTTCTTGCCTTGCTCCACGGTGAGAGGGAACAGGGAGGGGGCTGTGACTGCCTGTTCCCGTCCTGGGGGGCAGTCCCTGTCACCCCGAGTGCGACCTTCTCTGGGGGTTTTCTGGGCCAGCCCTTTTCTCAGGCTGAGCAAGCTCCCTTCCAGCCCGGCCTGCAGAGCTCTTATCCTGGCCAGACACTGTGAGCGCTTCCCCCGCACCGATGCACGGGCAAGCGTAGCTTCCCGCGGCCAGCAGCTCCGCTCTCCGTTCCGCAGGCGCCGTGCGTCAGCGTCTCACTGGGGGTTTGCCTCTGTGTTAGCAGAGACGACGCAGTGTGCTACTGCCAGCTGTTTATTCGGGTCCTGAACTGGTGACTAGTGACATGCAGTCCACCGGGCCAGCCTGTCGCCGGCCCACATCGCCCACCAAAGGGGACCCTGGGGATCCCTTGGCCAGGTTGGGCCTGACCACCCCCCAGGGCCCCTAAGGGCCAGCTGAAGGGGAGGGTCGTGCTGACGTCCCAAGGCCCAGGCCTAGGGAGAGGGGTGGGTGAAAGGTGGGGCTCCCAGTGTCCTGTGCACCCCAAGCAGCCAGGAAGCCGCCGGGTGCCCGAGAGCTAAGTGTCACGGCCGTGGGAGGTGCTGTGTGCACAAGCGTGGTGGGTCCAGCGTCCACTCCTGCAGCCCCGCGGACCTCCTTCCTCAGGCATCGCTGCTGCGGCTCCTCTGCCCCCACGCCCTCTGGGCAGCAGCCTCCTCCGCAGCCTCCATGGGGCCTGCAGCGGAGGACACCGTGCTCCTG